ATATAATCTAAAAAAAAATGGTTTATGAGTATTCACATAGCTTTTTATTAGTGAACCAATTGCAATAAAACAAAGCTTTAATGTTGCAAAGAATTAATCTTGAGAATTAATCTTGATTATCTTAAAACACCATACAAATTAGTCCAGTAGTAGGATAACTTTGGTAACTGTTTGCGACTGCACTGCTTTAATCTTAAAACTCCCATATCTTCCGTTTGAGTGAACCGATTGAGATGAAACAAAGCCTAGGTACTGCTCCAAGCTTTGCTTAAGTAACCAGCGAAAACTGCATCAAAATCCGATAAGTAGTTTTCAAGTTTATCTCTGACAGACAGACAGACAGATAGACAGATAGACAGACAGACAGACAGACAGACAGACAGACAGACAAAAATTCCAAGAATGATTTAATGTTTCCTATAACACTTTTTATGATTCCACCTTTTTAATTTTTTCATAAATATATTCAATGTACAGACACGCCGATTCTACTCTTTTATTATAGTATAGATATGTAAACACCCAGACACTAGAAAAACACTACGTTCATTACACAATATTTTTCCAGTAGTGGGAAGCATTCGTCAAAGTCTGGCACAACGGCTTGATTTACAAGCTGTTCGCACTCAAAGTGCCAGACAGGCTCGTACACACCATTCGGGCCTTCCTGTCGAACCGCTGCTTTTGATATCGACTTGAGGGCGCCCTCTCTATAAGCCGCCGCCTCACGGCTGGCGTTCCACAAGGCTCCTGCCTCTCACCCTTACTTTTTACGCTCTACACGAGCGATATACCAATATACCCCCACGTCAATCTCGCGCTTTTCGCTGATGACACGGCCTTCTTTTACACAGATAAAAATCTTAATCGACTCACTACTTGTCTCCAAAGCGCCGCCGACCACTTCGGCGATTGGTTCCGCAAATGGAGAATTGAAGTAAGTCTCGAAAAGAGTGTGGCGATTCACTTCACACGAAGTGATTACCCGTCACATCTTTATGAAGGTCGTCGCCAATGCAGAAAGCTAAGGCAAATATCTCATTATGGCCAACCCTGGGAGTAAATGGTCAAATATTTAGGAGTCACTTTCGACTCGCGTATTCACAACGCATATTAATAACCTTCGTAACAGAGCCGCGTTCGTCTCCGGCCGGCTAAGCACTTTAACTAACCAGTCAAGTAAAATGTCCTTAAGACACAAATTACATTTATACAAAGCTTGCGTACGGCCAATCATGTCCTACGCATTCATGATATTCGCTCACACGCACACTACTCGCTTGCAGAAATTGCAAGTAGTGCAAAATAAGTTCATCCGCCGCGCAACCGATGCGTAGTGGTATCAACGCAACGTCGACCTGCACAGCGATTGCGGACTCCTAACGATTTGCGAATTTTCCAAAGACCTGACCAAACGGTTCTTCGATAGAGCCGAACATCATCCCAACCCTCTGGTGGTAAGCGCAGCAAATTACCAACCCGATCCAAACGCGAGCGTCAATAAGAGTCACCCGCGAAACGTCCTCATAGACCCAGTCGACGAAGGGAACTTAGGTACGTCGGACTCACCGCCGGGGGTCCCGCCGGATAACACTACACAAGGAAATTTACTGATTTTGCATAGCTAAAAATAATTTAACGTAAATAATTTAATAGACGGCACCAGTCTCGAAATAATTCATAATAAAGATTATAATATCGAGATTATAATATAAGATAAATAATATCGAGTGAATATTTTAAAAAAAAACGAAATAAAGTTCGCAAAACACATTACTGTATTTTATTTACTTTATCCAAAAATAACATCTAGCAAGCTTATATCCAATTACGGTTTTCTATATAATGTTATCAAATATAAATAAAATAAATTTCATATACACTATATAGAAAACTGTAGTTGAATACAGCTCTCAACTATCAAAACAAAATGCTTAATTATCATTTACATTATCTATATACATCTGAATATGCAGTTCGGTCCCGCATCAAGAGATGGCGCTGTCTCACGAGGGCACTGATAACTCTATGTTAATAATATACTCTTTGGCAACCTCGATGGCCTTAGATGGCATGCCGTTATTAAACGCAGGCATGAGCACATGCACGACCCTATCCACAGCGGAGGGCCCAAACCCGTGGGTTCTGGCTAGCCCACCGGTTCTGCCTCAGATGAAGCTTTAAGAGTCTCGGGACTGAAAGCAAAAACATCAGTTAATACAAGATAAACAAGATACACTAGTGGGGACCGAACCCACACCCTCTGATGCAGGTACTGTACCCACAACGCCATTCCGGTCGTCAAATACCTAATTACATTCATAATCACAGATTGTTTTTAGTTATTTGTAACTTTTCGTCAGTTTTATGGTCAGACTTCTTGTTCTCCCCGCTTACTTATAAGAACTTGAAAAAGTATTATTAGTCCATGTAACTTTATATGTTTTATTCAAAAAATTTAGTTATGACTAACTAAATTTTTTGAATTTGTGAACTCGATAAAAATAACCATAATATTTCCCTCAAGGGGAAATACTGCATAAACCGAAAAGGTTCAATGGCCAGCGACTTGGTCTATACGGTTAAAAAAATTTAAATGCTAATTAACTTCTTTCAGTGCCAGGACTTAAAATTAACATGTAAGTGTTTATTTAAAACAACGCATAAAAACATATAATAAACAATGGACAAAATAACAAAAGGCATACAAAATAAAATGAAACAACAAATAACAAAAGTAAATGGGTTATATTCATAACCAACCACTTAAATAACTGTAACATCAGTCTTAGGCAAGGAACGGTAGCAAAATATATTGTAACAAAAAATAACAACTTATTTTGAACAACAATTGAATTACACTGGATTCTTAAAACGCGCCAATTGCAAATCATTATATTGGCACATATGTTTTAAGCCATGTACTATTTGTGCTAAAGTAAAGGCAAAGAAATCACAAAGAATTTGACAAAAAAGTTGCCGGTCTGTGTCCAAAACATAAAAAATATCATTTATTTTTAACAAATTTGGCGGCGGTTATTACAAAAAAAAAATTTCTATAAATATGCCGATACCAAAAAATCCCAATGGATCAATAGATAATGCGTTTGTTACAACGATATGTGCACGTCATTCTATATGTAACAGTCGGGACTGTAAATAACAAAATCAAGATATAGATTCAAATATCACTCCATTTCAAAAGAATCCCTTTATTTTATACGAGAAAACATTGTTCAAAAAAGACTATTTATTGTACTATCATAATTTGGTTATTAACTGTCTAACTATACTAATGAGTTCATAACAAAGTAACCGACAAATGCAGAATTAACTATCTTATACATATATCGATAACATACAACATAGTTTTGATCTTGAGTATTAAAGAATATACATAATATGTTGAGTGTATTTGTTAATGTTAATAAGAATAAACAGTATTTTAACCAATAGATATTCAGATTTCATAATCAACTATGGTGATAGTGTATTTTCAACTTGATCTTATACTAAATATTACAAGGTTAAGTTAAAACAGCTTTACTTACTCACGAGGCAATTTTACCGTAGAAAGCAAAATTTCTGTTTTAAGTGTAATTTATGTTTAAAAAAAATTGCAATGATAAACGCCCAGTTTATAAATGCTAATTTTCAACGTTTATATAAGAATAACGGGGAATCAAGTTTATAAAACAGATAATATTTATAAGTTTGGTTACAAACGTTTTACGTGTTGGTTACACACGTGTTACGTAAGGCAGGTTAAACGAAGGAAACGTTTTATGGTTATAGTTTAACTATTTTATCCGACCCACATAGCCCAGAGTAGCTTAGCAAACCATATGTGACTACGTGATATTAGACTATTGAGTGTAGATATCAAAAGTATTATATCACGGCACAGAAAATGTCTATAAAATAAATGATGTACCGTTACTACAACATAAGTTCTACATTTCAATGAACGGAGACACAACTTACAAACTTTGAAAAAAAACAAATTAAAGGACATGACATGTCTAAACTAGATTGTTTTTAAGATGATTGATAGACACTTTTCGATGCATTTTAACTTTAATTGTGGCAGCTTCTTAACATTGTCTTACCTTGCCAAAATGTGTGTTCATTCAAACTACTTATTTCCTTGGGCATGCTTTGCTTCGTCTACTACCGTGAACTTCAGGTCTTACTCTAACTTAAACTATTTTATATAAATTTTAATTAACACTTGCAATTAAACGTACATATATGAGATACTACTCCTTTCTACTCTCCATAGTATAGACCTTTGATAAAACAAAATATGTATTTTTTACCCTTTCAAAGGCGTATAAATCAAGAGTGAAACATAATTAAAGGATATCGAAGGAGCGCTACGTCATTTTAAAAAAAACTGGTTACGAATAATACTCAAATGCACTTTGTCTAGTACGTCATCGAACCAAATTGTTTAAAACGTTTAAGTACTATGCAACATTACAGGCCGATTAAACATTAGACCGAAATATCAGAAAATGCATAGTCGTAAAACATACGGATTTCCGTCAGTCATGGATGAGAGAATCATACACACGGTAAATAACTCCCGATAGTGGCGAATAGACATGTTTTGAAACTATCTACTTAGTAGTAGTTTAAGTATCACTATCAAGTTTAAAAAAAAATATTTTTTAAAACTAAATAGAGACATGACATGACGCGGAATAAAATTACCGGCCGTACAGAACATACATAGAGACACCGCGTTGGGAAAACATTCATACCATGGACACCGTACATATAGACAACCAAATAGGTGTAAGTTAGCTATGGACTGTCAAGTGGTGTACTCAAACTAAACATAATTCGTGGGATAACGTCGATCTGTTACGTATTTGGGACAAACATCGGATGTTGAATGCCAATTTCACATACGTCAATCGTTTAACCTGCCATAGAGTATAATAAGATATTCAAGTGGGGCATATCTAGATGCGACAACATTTTTTTTTGGATTATTCTTCCAAAGCCGGTATTTTATTCTCTCCGTAGAACATGATACACACGGTGGCGTGGAGACAAGCTTTCGCAGGGAGATACTTTTCATCAAATGTCAGAGCGTAGCGGTACATCCATATGGCTTGTTCGTATTCGGCCTGTTGGAGAAATTTCCGTTTTTAGATTACACAAATACTACACTTGTATACTATACTATCCTTGTAATTTAAATACTCACTAGGCATGTGTGAGAAATAGCTACGAGGAACGCTTCAATCTTGCTCTTTGGCGACAAATAGAAAGAGAGGTATGCTATTTCTTTAGCGTCTTGTTTTTTAGATTGCCTGAAACAAAATGTAATTATTAGTTTAGATTGAACGAATCTTTGGGTTTGCAAAATAAGACGCTTTCAATTACGCTCGGAATTATTCACGATATGTGCATACATTATGGTAGGTTAGTTGCATACGTTGTAATTGAGTATGCGAGTACTAACTACTACACTGTGCTATAAAATGTTTGCGAACATAGTTCTAAGCGCACATACATTGGGCTTACGGAGCAGAGACCATGATTCAATTTCATGGAGATTAGTGTAAGTACTTGGAGCTGGGTGAGCGTAATATACGTTGATTGGCATGCGTGTGCGCAATCGTTTTTGGAAAATTAGTGCTACCCGTGCGAACCCGGGGCAGCTAGTAACTTATAGAGTGGAAGGGGAGACGAACGTGGATATTGACCAGGGTCAGTGTGTATTAAATTTATATGTTTGCCTTATCAGCGTGCATGCTGTGTAGTCAGTGGTGGTGTGTACGTGAATATGTGCGTGTACGTGCAACGGTTAAGTGTGTGTGCAGCGAATAAAAACGTGTTAAAAAAATAAATATTTGCGGACACATTTTTACACAACGTTCTCTAGTCCTGAAGTAAGCAACGCTTGCACTATTGATACTTAGACAAGTGATAAACATACTTAAAATACTTTTCTTTTGTAATTAAATACATATTATACAAATATAAACACTAGAAAAACACCATGTTCATCACACAATATATTTCCAGTGGTGGGGATCGAACCCACACACCCTGGCGCGAGAGGCAGGCTCAGCATTCGCCACGCCGTGCGGGTCGTGCGTGTACGTGCTACAGTGTAAGTGTGCGTTCGGCAGGTACGCGTGGGTTCGGTGGGTAAGTGTGGTTTCGGCGGGTAAGTGTGCGTTCGGCGGGTAAGCGTGGTTTCGGCGGGTAAGTGTGCGTTCGGCGGGTAAGCGTGGTTTCGACGGGTAAGTGTGCGTTCGGCGGGTAAGCGTGGGTTCGGCGGGTAAGTGTGCGTTCGTGTGGGTACGTGTATGCGTTCGGCAGGTAAGTGTGCGCGAATGTTGCGTACGTGAGCAGGAGGGCGACGAGGCTGCGCAGCACGAGCGCCGCGTGCTGCGGCGGCGCGAGCGAGAGCGCGGCGGAGAGGCAGCGCACCGCGCACGCGCCCCTCCCGCCCGCGCCGCACCACCAGCCCGCGCCCAGCGCGCCCATCCACGAGCGCGGCTTCTGCGTTAACACGCACCCACAGAATATCTTTCAACCGTTTACAACACTTTTTTCCAAAATAATTTCTTGTATTTACGCGATTACACATTATAAATGAAACTATTTTTTACGGATTTATCGCGTTTATTTTTTAATTTTAATTGCCGACGTTTCGAACCCTTTACAGCGTTCATGGTCACGGGACAGAAAGACTATATTTTTTCCAATTAAAAATATAGTGCGTTTGGGTGAGAATATCTTGATTGGGACAAAATTGACGGCATCATACTTACAGTTTCCACGTATTTCGCTATTTTCGCGCCCAGGGTGAGATAATCGAAGAAGTTGAACATCTCGGCGAATTGGTGCATCAAGCTTAGTATCGGCGTCCAATCCGACGAGTCCACGCGGACGACTCGCTCCAGAAAGAAATCCTTAGAGGAGTCCCCGAAAAGGCGGCATTCTGGAACTTTCTTGTTGGAGGGCGTCATCGCGGCGATTTCCGCGTTTATCCTGTAAAAAAAGTATTTAGTAGATATACATGTTTAATTGAATACTAACTACAAGGTTTATAGAAACACACGTTCAAATCTTTGCTTCATAACGGTGTAGGCAGATTAGTATCGGTAACGACTTTACAAGTAGTAAATTAAACAAGTTTATTAATTAATTAGTTTCCAACATTACGGGTACTAAGCCTTCAAACTTCAGAGTTCTTTTATAATAGAAAATAAATGTTTACAACACTACGACATTAATGTTCAATACGTTAAATAGTTTTAACTTATTTTAGTGCGTTCAATTTTGTAATGGAACAACGGACCTGTCTCTAGTCCCATAGGGTGAGGGTTCGATACCCACTACCGCATAAACATATATTATGTATTCGAATGATCTTTTCATTAAAAATCTAGCTTTAAAAATCTTCATAGAGTTTAATTAAATCATAAAATCAAGCATCCTTATCGATACTACTCTTTACTCCTTACTAATATTATAAACGCGAAAGTTTGTACATATGGATGGATATTTGTTACTCTTTCACGCAAAAACTACTGAATAAATGTTAACGAAACTTTACAATAATATAGCTTATACATCAAAATAACGCATAGGTTATAATTCATATAGATATTGTGTAAATTGTACAAAATATTGCTAAGGATAACTGTCAACTAAGTAAGCAAAAAATAAGCCATCTGTGAGATATTCTGATTTACAGTAAAAAACTCATTGTTGTCCTTTGGCCGCGCAAGCGAAGCCACGGTTAACAGCTAGTATCATAATAAGTATGCCTTACTTCAAGTTAGGGTCAGCAAACGTTTGCTTGAAGCATACGATGTGCAACCAGTAGCCGAGCTGCAGATGATGGTAAGCGCAATCTTCCTCCTTCATAGCCAGGTCCTCCGCTTGGAGGTCTGTAATCGGAATAGTGAAATATTTGGATCCCCGAAATTAAGAGAGCAAAAGAGCGCTATTTTAGGAGATATTTTTAGGGTTCCGTACCCTAAAGGTACAAGGGGACCCAATTACAAAGTCTTCGCTGTCTGTCTGTCTGTCACCAGACTGTATCTCAAGAACCGTGATAGCTAGACAGTTGAAATTTTCAGATGATGAATTTCTGTTGTCGCTATAACAACAAATACTAAAAAACAGAATAAAACATATTTAAGTGGGGCTCCCACACAACTGACATTTTTTTTGCCGTTTTTATAGATAATGGTACGGAAAGCTTCGTATGCGTAAGTCCGGGTCAAATTTGGCCGATTTTTTAGACAACGTTCTCTAGTCCTAAACTAAGCAACGCTTGTACCCATAGTACTAGATAATAATGATAAACATACTTAAAAATACTTTTCTTTTGTAAATAAATACATATTATAGATATATATATGCAACCAGACACTGGAAAAACACTATGTTTATCACACAATATTTTCCAGTAGTGGGGATCGAACCCATACCCTCTGGCGCCAGATGCAGGTTTAATACCCACTACGCCAATCGGGTCGTCAGATGAAAACATACAATCTTGGAAAGAACATAATTTAATTCGTTTGTTTGAGACCATACCTGAAAAGCTATTTCATTAAATTTCTGTTGTTCAATCTGTCATAAAAAAATCTACTTAAAGTAACATATTTTTGTTCATCATGACAATGTCATTAATGCATAAATTTACTACGACAGCCCTACTTATTGTAGGCACTCAATGCGACAGCCCTATGGATTGTAAGCACTTACTGCGACAGCCCTACTGATTGTAAGCTCTCAATGCGACAGCCTTGCGGATTGTAAGCACTCACTGCGACAGCCCTTGGAGCCACAGCCTTTCAGCTCCTCGTGGACGGTTATCATCAGGCTGTTGAAGTTGAGCTTGTGGCCGAGGAAGTTGCTGGGGTCGGCCGGCATGTTCCTCACGAAGGCCTCGAACACGTGCTGGTTCATATCATAATTGAAGGTTTTATGCATGATCGGGTCCTTGAGCTCCATCAGGCGCAGTATGGCACTGGTGTCCGCTGCGAAAGGAATAATAATAATTAATTAGGAATTAATTAATAATAATTAATTAAAAAGGAATAATATTAATTAATAATAACGATTGTGTTCTGGAAAATTCTTCATATAAACTGTACTATGACCGCGCTACAATAGACCAGATATAACTAAAAATACATATTTGATAGACATAGCAGTGCCAAAGAAGTGCCTACAATATGAAGAAAATAATAATCGAAAAATACTGACGCAAGAACTGGAGGAAGAAGTAATGAGAATCTGGAAACAAGATAAGGTTTACATAATACTAATAGTATAGTCCTCTCTACTACGGGAATGTTACCCCACCATCTCCACCATAGCTTGTAATTGTTACAACTTCGGAACGGATATCTCTCTAATTGTTGTGCTATTGTCACTTTTATGTATACTCTCATTTGTGGTGGACAGTAAAAGTTTATTCATTTATTTATTCATTCATTCATTAATTCATTCACTCTCTACATTACACTACAGAAAGCCGCCATCGCAAACACCTGACTAACTTGTGAGAGTTTGTCCAAATTGAACATTGTCACCAATAACACACGCATTCTATCAATATATATTCTACCCATTTTGCAGGGCGTGGAACGGCCCATATAATTATGTCCCACTGCTGGGCAAAGATCTTCTGTACAGATTGTAAGGGCATACTCCACCACGCGCTGCGGACCCCCGAAAACATCGTTATTAGGTTTAATACCTATTGTATATCAATATAGCAACGATACCAACTAGATATTCGGGCAACGCACAAAAAACGACTCGATAGATAACTTGATTGGTACACGATTGGTACACGACCATCGTAAACGTTTCACAATGCCAAATCGAAAGTTACAAAAAATAATGTCTGAAATCTTACTTTCGGTAAGTGCGTGTGGAATTAGTTTTTCCTTAAGTTTAAAACTAACGAATAATATGAAATTATGTAAAAATTTACGGTTTTTAAATCACCGAAAATTCTCTCGAGCGAACCGAGTCGAATCCCGATGCCGACACCGATGAATTTGTTATGTGCAATTTTTAAGTGCATTACAATTCAACACTCTTTTCTTACTCAGAAAGAGAGAAATAAATACAACACAAACTCATCAGCTACAAAAATGTGGAGTATACTATAAGCAATTTACAAAACGATACCTTTTCTCTTGTTGCCGTGACAATTGTCGTCGATCATGTGGCAGTTACTGCCGTCCTTTTCGCACACCATTTTTAGGTCCGCCTCGACTTGCGTGCAAAATTCTCCATCGCCGTAATCTGAATACGAAAAAATTTAAAATAATACACGGAAATGGGTACCGTCCCATCGTTTTAATCTTACTGTGGTAAAACCCACGAAACAGTTTTGACTGTTGCGCGAAAGGACAGGGGCTCATCCGTAATGTAGTCGTCCCTTCGAAAACCCTCCTTACTGTAGGATAACATTATCCCGTGTCGTAAGAACAATTTACATACATAAATTTCACGCGGACCAACACCCAGATAAAAAGTAAAATGGCCCGCTAAATTTCGCCGCTTTTTTTTTAGATTAGTGGCTTTTCTTTAACGAACCGGTAGTAGTATTTATGTTTGTACTAGCGACCTACCCGGTTCGCATGGGTGCAATGTATTACAAATATAAACCTTAATATAAACCTCTTGAATCACTCTATCTAGTAAAAAACCGCATCAAGATTCGTTGCGTAGTTTTAAAGATCTAAGCATACACAGGGTCAGGCAGACAGCGGGACGATTTGGTTTTATGCTATGTAGTGATTATATCTATTGTAATATTTCAATTTGAATTCTGACTCGAACCCCCGGCGCCGAAGTCACTACCTCGACAACTGGGCCACGGAGTCGTCTAGTACCGTAGCAGAGCATGGAGCCTCACCCATTTCCGTCAGCGAGTTGACCTGCTTCAGTATGCAGGCCCAGCCGTGGAAGAGGTCCCTCGCGAGCCCGTCGAGGAATTCCCCGTCGACGCGCAGAACTTGCTTCAAGTGGAACAATTGCGTTTTGCGATTCTTCTGCAGCATGTTCAACTCGGCCAGGACGAAGTTGGTCGCCGGCTGTAACAGTCAAGTTTCCCATGAATGCCCATCGTCGAAGTGTGAAGTAGCTGTTGGGCCATGCAACAGCCTCGGCTGTCGCACGAATGGGCAGGTCCGTCCGGGTAAGTACCACGACCTCACAGAAGACCAGTGCGAAGTGGAACTCATACTTCTGCGTGCCATCTGGTGAGTGAGATAGCCGTGGCCCACTTTATTAAAATGTGTCAAACCCTGATATGCCGTGTTCGTAGAAAAATAACGATAGAACGAAAAGGCTTCCGGAAAGCCGCCCTGGTGCCGTACCTCGTAAAAAAGCAACGATAGAACAAAAAGTAACAATAAAACGAAAAGTAACGATAGAACGAAAATTAACGATAGAACGAAAAGTAACGATAGAACGAAAAGTAAAGATAGAACGAAAAGTAACGATAGAACGAAAAGTAACGATAGAACGAAAAGTAACGATAGAACGAAAAGTAACGATAGAACGAAAAGTAACGATAGAACGAAAAGTAGCGATAGAACGAAAAGTAACGATAGAACGAAAAGTAACGACAGAACGAAAAGTAACGATAGAACGAAAAGTAACGATAGCACGAAAAGCAGTCAACTTCGGCCTTGGGGCAAATATCCCTTTATGCCCAACCGCTCCCCAGGGAGAAAAAGGTCAAATACTTAGGAGTCACTTTCGACTCGCATGTCATTTACTACGCACATTAATAACGTTCGTAATAGAGCTGCGTTCGTCTCCGGCCGGCTACATAATTCCGAACCGCAATCTCGATGGCCCTTAGATGACACACCATAGTTAAGCGCACGCATGAGCACATGCGCGGCCCTACCCACAGCGGAGGGCCCAAACCCGTGGGTTCTGGCTAGCCCACCGGTTCTGCCTCAGATGAAGCTTTAACAGTCTCGGGACTGAAAGCAAAAACATCAATTAATACAAGATACAAGACTTCGGCGCCCTGGTACATGCCGCTAGCGTTTACCTCGTACAAGGCGACCCTGAAGGCCTCTTCGGCGGCGGAGAGCGCCTCGTCGACGTGGCCCGTCTCGAGGCAGACGGAGGCGAGCGAGGTGAGCACCAGGTCGCGGTTCCGGGGCGGCACAGTCTTCTTGGCGGCGAACAGGCAGTGCACCGTGCTCACGTAGTTGCCGCGCACGCGCCAGTACAGCGAGGCCAGCGTGTACAAAAGCCACTCGGGCGCCAGCCTCTGAAAGTGCGAGCGAATTTAGTACGCGCGATCTAGTATTTACAGTAGGTATTTATAGGCGTTTTCGAAAATGGCAAAAAAATATTACGAATATATTGGATCTACGTCCACGTCAAGTCCAGCGAGAGGGACAGCAAAAGAGGCTAAAATGATGATTCATTTTAGCCTCTTTTGTAATCAGATGATGACGTTATGACGATTTGAAATCTACCAGTCGGTAGTAGGGTCGAGTAGGCCCTTACCCTGTCTGTACAAATAAAGCCTTTGCCCAGCAGTGGGACATATAAGCTTATGCATGTTACTTTTGCTCTGTGAAAGGTTTTTTTTTCTGTGAAAAATTTGCTAAAGTCCAATGTCATGCAACTAATCGCTTTCGCGTGGCATTCCTACATCATTGGAAAACTCGACTTCGATGGCAATGCGGAACATCGAATGTATGCGCGCTTGGTCATTATACCCTGTCTTCGGTGTCCCGTATAGACCGAAAAGATGCACATTCCAATGCAATTTTCAATATGGTCAACAATATGCAATTGTAATAATCCGTGATAAAAACACCGATAGACGATATTTCCAAGGACGATTCGCGAAGGCTAGTCGCGTAGTGGTGAGTAGTGACTGTCAGATAAAAATATCTCGTTACCTTTTTGGTAGCGGCATAAATCCGTTGACCTATTTCCTCGACCTGCATATGAGCCACGAGATCCACATTTCCATCCGCCACGTACTCCAATAGCTTCCTTTTCATGTAATCCGTTGTCACAACTACCGCCAATGGGCTCCTGGAAACATTATATCGTACTGAGTGTTACGTTTTTAGGAGAGAGTCATATAATTTATTAAATACTTTAAATTGATGAGGTATTAAGGATGAGTAATTAGTTTGAGAACTCAACTACTTTTAAGAAACAGTCATATATTTTTTCATATACTTTAAATTGGTCGGTGAGGTGTTAAGATGAATTAGTGATTACCGAAACCAAATGAAACGAACTTAACTTTAGAACTAGTCATAGCATTATTGATTGAAGTTGCCTACTATATTAATAAGGAATAAATCGAAGAACAAAGTGTAAAGACATAAAATATGTATTGCATGACTTACTGCTATGAATTTTATACCAATTCTCCTTATTTCTCCTGTCCTGACTAGGTGAGTTCGGTAGATTTAAAAAAAACATAATTAAAGAAAATTTTGCTATGTTTGATCGATTGGTATAAGTTGACAGAAAGTAGATGAGTCGGTAACAATTGAATAAGTTGACATTAATTGGATGAGCTAGCAGAAATTGAACGAGTAGCGTGTAGGTTACCCACAATTGGACAACCTTTAGCACCCTATAAAGGCATCCTAGCTATACACCACCTACTCATGGTCGCGGTGCTGGACATATTCTAAAATTACTTAAATACTCATGCGGTAATCCAACTTGCCCAATGTGATCATCGCACATCCAAATGAACGCCAAAAAACAGATATATGCTCATGTATGCAGCAACAGAATTGGCAAACATAAATTGAAGAGGACATAAAATATTATAAACTTGCAGTGTACTAAACAGAATAATATAATGAATTATTTGAATATGATACATTTTGATACGTATCTTAGAATAGACAGCGATGTTTTGAAATGATATTAGGAATGGAGGCAAGCGTATGCAACAAGCGGTTCTGTACAGCAAGTTTATGTCGCGGTGGTGGCTTTCTATATGAAATATGTCTTTCTATACTGCTTCTATAGCCAGACGGCTCGTGAATAAAGCGCTTAAGCAAAACTATTAAATATATAAACATATGTTCGCAAAACCAACAATATGTCAAGAGGCAGAGAGTGATTTAGACCGCAGCGCGAGCGAGAGGGCAATATACTGACCCCAATACGCCGCGTGTAGTGCGCCGCAGAAAAGTCTATCGATACATACGATACGGTATCTATACATTCGATATACCGCATCATAACCATACCGCATGCTCCGCAATGTGTATACTACATAATCAAATACTTGCATATGAGTGCATAGGATATTTTATTCAACATTTTTTTTATTCTCAAGAAGAAAAGTTTATCTGACAAAAGCTTTCTTTTTCCCATTGATCATAATAATTTAAACAGCGTAGAAATAATCATTTTGACAATCAATGTTATGTCTATGGCTATTTCTTTAACAATTTTTATTGATATGTAATGTGAAGGAAAAATTAAAACCAACAAGAAATTGTTATACGTTGTTGCGATACTTTTGTAGAATACGACTTGACGAGATGTGTTGTATGATCTAAATATAGCTTTAACCGTATCGATAGCCCGAGATATCGCATCCCTACCTAGTAGTCGTTGTGATCACTATAAACTGTGTACTGTGCAGTTAGGGCGAACTTCGGCGTAGTAAAGTTTAGCGTTACAACCTAAAGTATTAGTAACAGTACAAACGAGCGTATCCTGGAAACGTTAACGCGTGATGCGATCGTGTGTATTCTTGCGATGTCATGAATTCGATTCGCTTTCCACCACCGAAAAAATAGTATTCGTGGATATGTATGGCTGTTATCACCTTAGGAGTACATAAGATATATTACTTCTGTGGCTTCTTCAGCAGGAGCTTGGCGGCGGCCTTGTCCTGGGGGCAGGTGGGCGGGTGCCAGGGCAGCTCGTACTCCTCGGAGGCCGGCACGCCCAACTTGTCGGTCAGCAGCGTGCCGAGCCTGAAACATTGGTAGCTTTTACCGACGGCTTTGTTCGCGTCAGAGCCGTGATAGCTCAGTGTCCGGCCGCTCGCCTTTAATTCAATACACTCGAGCAACCCGAGTGAAGTGGCCGGAGCCCAATTTTCAAAAGGTCGTCAACGCATCTGGAACCCTCGGGTGTAGCAGATGTCCATGGGCGGCGGTATTCACGGAACATCAGGTGAACCGTCTGCTCGTTTAGCTACTTTTCACATAAAAAAAATATATTTTTGTTTTTGTTGTTAATAAACTGTTTTACGGATTTTACAGCGTTTAATTTAGGTGTCACAAATCATGATGTTTGAATTACTTTATAGTATCTTTGCATTCACTGACTTAGGTGTTTAACGTTCTAAAGTCGTAATTAATCCATTCAACATAGATCGGCTCAAAATATATAATCAAAAAATTGAACGGTACCTATACCTTTCAAACCTATTAATATTAAATTTACAAATACAAAAACTCTTAAAAGAAGTAATTTTACCATAAGGGGCTTTTAAATTTCAGTCAACACTAAACTATATAAGACAATGTAAGATGAATTGTCCCTTAGAGATATTGAGAGCAGTCTAGCTCTTCATGCTGAGAAATGAGATCTTTCACTTACCGTATACCTTTATTTTCGAAACATATAAACACTGGGTATATGGCCTGGACATTCCCCGGGAAATTAGTGGCAGCCGCTTTGCAGAATGCGTCGGAGGGCCAATCGGGGTCCTTATCGAATTCTTCAGTGTTGCGATTGATTTTCATTGTTGATGGATACCTTTAAAATGAGAAAGAATAAATAATTATTAAGGGAAATGCTCAACAAACCCCATTTTTATTATGATCATTTTATTATATTATCAGTAACAACGCTTATCAGTAACAACGACATAGAAGACAACGTTATAGTATGTAATAATATGAAATATAAACAATATGCACACTTAGTTTACTGCAAGCCTTGTTTTAGGATGCATAGTAATTGAGCGCTTCTAGTTTCTGCAGATAGAGTAAAAAATAATGCAAATGCTTATTTTTCACTACACAAGAGTATAAATGCGGCGTAACATTTCCCATTTCCCATTCACTACGCATTTGAGGTAACTCTTCAATGTAATTTAAATAAGTTATATGTAACATTTCCCTTAATATTTATATTTTTGCGTTTTTCGTAAAAGTGTCGAAACTTCTGACAGTGGTAATAGAAAATGAGCAATAAAACAACCTAATAAATATAATACGTACAAGGGTGTACCGGTTTCAAATTCTTTCATTTCGTCCTCAACTTCGCTGGTTGACTTTACGCCATTTTGTTTCTCATCAAGTTTCACTTCATTGCGCGGTTTATCTGGACAATGATTACGTAAATAAGTTTACCATGATAAAAAAAATCAGAAGGACCGACAACGCATCGCGGCTTCTCTGCTATTGTGAGTTTTTATCGGTGACGGTAATAATATACCATCAGAACACCTTTGCTCTATTTTCATATTACCATAATATAGTTTATATACTTTATCAAAAACAAGTTCGTAAACATTTTATTTTTATGCAACTTTAGGGTGTCCCGTTTTATTTATAAAATTCTTAAATTTTTCCGATTCAACCAATAAACCGCTGTTATAATCAGATATTAGTTTTCTTTTGTAGGGTGTGATAGAAAAGACATAATTATATCGCACAAACTTGCGCCTGTGAAATGGCGTCACAAGTTCTGCGCGTATTGTACTGTCGAATAGAAATTTTCCTACAAAGAAAGGCTTAACACTATTTGATTTACAAAGCCGTTGTTCAAGGTAAAGCAGTTTAATGATTTGATCCGCTCAGCTGGGATGCTTATTGGCTGTAGCACCACAGTGTCTTGGGTTCTATTCCAGCACTGGATGACTCTTTATATGAACTACAGATAATTTCGGAGAGGTGTAGAGCTATATCTCCATATGGCCATACACAAGACACTTACTCAAATAGCGCTTTATTCACATTGGTGTAAAATACTAGCTTTTTCTGACTACGTAGCGACAATACACAATACCCACAAATAATTGTTTCGGGTCAGGCTGTTTATCCGCTTGAAATTTATGTACTAGCTACTATTACTGGTATTAAAAAACCTTCCGTGGAACTTAAGGAACATAAAAAAAAATTAGCCCAATTGGTCCAGCCAGTTCTTGAGTTATTCGCTTACCAACATTAATTTTTATTTCCTAAGAAGATAACGTCCTTACACCACAGGATAATGTACTGGTGTCCGTTACGTTAATAAAACAGCTTACTTATCGCTAAGATCGGGAGTTGGTCCTTGAATGTTGTCTCTTTCAGCAATTCCGACTGCGCGCTTCCCGGGGCCCTGGTAGATTGTTTCTCTATGTGCAACACCAGCCTCTGGAAACTGTTGGCGGTGTCGACCGCCTCCAGGTTGGCTTTATCCGACCAAAGTTGGGTGTAAATCGAGCTTTGAAGGAAGTGCTTGATCAGGGAGTACTTGTCGCCTTTCAGATTCAGCCTCTTTATATCCAGGCCGGTCAGCTCCGACATCTTCTCGCTGTTCTTCGCCGCGTTCCTTGTATCTGGTGTTTCAATCGAAGACAGCATTTTATTATATTTTATTTATTCTGCAATGGCAATTCTTTTCAATCAACTAATACAATAATGCCATAGCTTATAATTTGACAACTTACCGTGTTCCACTTTGTGTTTCGCTGAATTCAAATATGAGCTCTGTGAATTGAGAAGTTGCGCTTCTTTTTGACTGTATATTGTAAGCTCATCTCGTAGTTTTTTCGAGGCACTTAAATAAAAATTAATTAAAGTAGACATACACAATATTAAATCATATATTAATTTAAAAAGTTTTCCTTCACTGCTGAGCTTGTGATAGGTCAGCTCATAAAATTAACAATATAATTGGAGCACAGAGATTGAACTCAGGTTGCTTGAGTATATTGAATTAAAAACGAGCCCCCAATGAGCTATCATAGCTTGCCTTGTCTATTCATTTACTTCACAAAATAAATAACATAAATAAAAAAATAACATAGAACAATCTGTTTTTACATCCTAAAATACAACCTACATGTAAAATTAAGCTCTGGTAATAAAAATAATCTAAAAATTGATCATGACATCAGGTTTGACACCATAGTATAAAAACAGTTTCATATATTGTTAGTAAAGTAACTTACTTGCGCACAATCGCCAACTTTTTCCATATATTAGAAAGACATCGCACACCATGTTTATGTTTGACAGCAATTTTAAAATTAGGATCCAACTTCAAGCATTGACCGAAATGCCTGTCTGAACTATTGAAGTCGCACAGCACAGCATATGCATTTCCAAGTTGGAATTGGCTCAAGTGAAAATTAGGATTGTGATCAACTGCTGCATTCAAAATGACCACTGCATCCTCTGTCATTTTGCTGAGATGTAATATAGTCCCCATGGTGAAGAGAGCAATATCTTTGTACTCTCTGTAATCAAAATAAAAAAACTAAAGAATTTTTTTTGTTGCTTATGTTCAAATAAATACAGTAATGTTACTACTTATGTGTATATAACACAAAATATATTATTCTGTTTAACATTATAGGATCCATTTAATTTTTATCCAAAAACATGAACAAAACAACTAAACACCATAAATGGTAACTATATCCAAATTATGTAATGAATGGAATAATATACATTAAAACTGTGTCTACTGCTCAACCTTGGTGCATAATGTACAGCACGCCGACTGCATTCCATTGCCTTGGGTCCATTACCTCTCGCCCTCCAGTACAGTGAAGCCAAATTGTAATGAAGCCAGGAGGAACTATTTTTCTTTAAAACACCTGACAGCCAATGAGCAAACTGATCTACAGTCATAATAGGAGATACTTTCTCGGGTATATACAGCTCTGGGGAAATTGTAAGGTTTTCTCTATTAATCATACCCTGAAACCAATTATGGAATGTGTTGTGTTATATAGACATATCAAAATCATATTTTATATTTCCAAATTAAATGAACAGCAAATAGGTTGTAGTAAAAGAACAGTCTTAACCAATGCAACAAAGTAAGCCATCAGAACTTTAAAACTGTCCACAAAGAAGTGTCACCGTAATTGTAAAAAGTAATTACCGTATCCAAGCTATTTTTACTTTTTCTTTCAGAATGTTTAAGAATTGACTAACTTATATTGATAATATTTATAAATGTCTAGTATTACCTAATTATCCAAGAAAAGCATATTTTGAAATTGATGCCTCAATTTAATAATATATTTTAGTAATTTACTAACTTTGTTTAATAATGAATATGAAGTCAACTCACCTCTAAATGCTCAAAAGCGGACATACTAAAAATTAAAGAAGAAATTTTTTTACAATCAGGTATGTCTGTAACCTGCCCAGGGAATTTATTGACTAAGTGATATTCTTGGTCAGGTATATTTCTAGAACTTCCATCTTCAAAAAATGAAACATACCAATCCAATTTTTTTAACTGTCCAGCTTTCAAACAGTGATCATCAGACAAGACATGGGAACCAATACGTGTGTTTTTATCAATATCATTCCATAATTCATCTATGAAGGTTTGCCGTTTAGTCAAATCGTTATAGGTATCAATAACATCATTCCAATAATTTTCCTGATTTAAAAATGCTAGCAAATCGTATGGTCGGGCAAGTTCAAAAGGGGAATCAACCTGTAAGTAACAAAAAAACAGTAATTACAGATAGAAACATGAATTAAATTTTTAGCTTTATAAATGATCCAAACTAATTTCTTAAATGTGCAATCATATCCTACCCTTGGCTGAATTAAACCGCTCTCGGTTACCATCCAGTGAGTGTTCCCTTGTATAACATCAATGGTGATTACAAGAAAATAGGACAATAACATGAAGAACTTCATTTTTGCAACTGAAATTTATTTAAATTTTATAGTACATTCAAATGCATTATCTTTTAATTTACAAAAGCTTTTTTCTATTGCCACTTTTGACAAGCTTCCGCCAACAAAGACTTAATGGTATCAATGAAAGCTCGGTCTACTAGAAGTGGGCGATACAAATCGTATCAGATATGAAAACTAGATATTAGTACAATATCCGAATATCGCTTACTGGCTCGTTCAATATCTATGTATTTTACAATATCTGATATTTCCGAAATCTGATGTACCGTGCTCGCTCGCTATACCGACACGAATCGCGATATCATACGCGTTTACCACAATATCTGATTTTTAAACAGATTTCGAGAGACAAAGCGCGTGAGATACAAATACTCACTAGTTAGAGCGGGACGGCAAGCAATGCACGATATCAGATATCGAGCGACAAAGCGCGTGAGATATAAATACTCACTAGTTAGAGCGGGACGGCAAGCAATGCACGATATCAGATTTTTAAACAGATTTTGAGCGACAAAGCGCGTGAGACACAAATATTACACTAGTTAGAGCAGTACGGCAAGCAAGGCACAATATCAGATTTTTAAACAGATATTATGAATAAGTTATGTAATTTTGAATCTTAATACGATGCAAATAAGATCCGTTTTAATTAAATACTAATCATGGTATCAAAGATTACTACAACGATATTATTATATTTCTATTGCTTTGTTTAGCCTTGAGCCGTAACGGGCGACAAAGCGCGCAGTTAAGTAATTTTGAATCTTAACAGCATGGAAAAAAATCTCTGTTGCATTTAAATACGAATTACGGTATTAACGATGTCTTTAAATTTTGTTTAGTCTTGAGCTGGATTGCATTGGTACTAAGCACGTAATAGTAAGGGATGCCAACTTACTACTTAAGTATTTTCTGCCTAAATTAAGGAAGAAAAATATAAATGGAAATTTTTAGGAGGTAAATTTTTTGTGAATATTTTTATTACTTAAATTTTATTCATATTTTTGGAAAAAAATAAAAGTACACAAAAAGAAAAATATAATTTAATAGTGTAGTGCTGCTTGGGTGGAAATCAGACCAAGGCTTATGTGCTTTGTGTGTATATTTTAAATTCTTCCGCCCTAAGTTATAATACTGAATGTATTATTTCTTACACAAATTATTAAGATATTGTCACTCATGATTGCGTGTTTTAAAAATATGTTAAAGTCAATTATTAAGCGATATATAAGATGTTAAAATAAATCATTTTTATATTACTTCAATTTCTATTTTTAATGAAATTTTTAATTTTATCAGGTAATGTTTTAATTTAACCTTAATAGTATAAAAAAATCGTGATTTTAAATTCAGTAAGTTTTTTTGAATTTAGTCAATTTTAGTGGGTTTTCGAATTTATTTAGAAGTATTCTTTTGAATAGTTGGTATCACTGGTAATAGCTTTAGTTATGTATAGGTACAATGATCGTCGAACAAGACTTTCGACGATTAAAGTCAAACAGCTTACGTTCGTAAACGTGAATTTAAACCCGGAGGAATCTAAATAATTATTAACCCACACATCATTGTAAATAAGTTAAGTTTTAAATATCAGGAAAATTATGTACATAGAATGAATCAACTTTTAAATACTCTTTTTTTTTTTTTTAGAATTCAAGGTGGATACGGGACCGTAAAATATCTAGATATTAAAATACATAGTTTCGAAATCTGATATTTGAAATCGATATCTGATTCAGATACGGTACTCAGAAAAAGCGATACGACCCATCTCTACGGTCTACCCTTCACTAACGTAACAACTTCTACTTGGTTACTTACATGAAAGTATGAAAATATGAAATTATGAATCTATGAAACCATGAAAGCACAGATTGCGTAAAAACAAAGATGTATAGAAAACATAACGATTGTTATTTATTCTTCCAAAAAATAAATAAACTGCCTGAATTTAATATTAATCAATTCAAAGACATAAATATATATTTTTAATCTGTAACTCTCAAACAATAATACGGCATCAGAGAAAACAAACTTTGTTTTCTCCGTCTAAATACGGTACGGCATTAATTGCCGGCATTCATGTTATTATTTATTGCATCATCAGATCAGACAGCGAACGAAAAGAATCTTATTAATAATGTAGGAACTTCACTTCCTAAATTAGATTTATTTGTACGTTTATCAGAGAACCCAGAATCCATTCTTTTTTTTTTTCTTCACAAGAACCGAGTATCTAAAAATATGATCTTCTTGTATCTTGTATTAACTGATGTTTTTGCTTTCAGTCCCGAGACTATTAAAGCTTCATCTGACGCAGAACTGGTAGGCTAGCCAGAAGCCACGGGTTTTATTTTTTCTACGTTTTTTAGAAGTATTTAGGTTTTATTTAATAAATTGACAAAAATCAAGGAAGATCTTATCTTTACAAGAAAGACCTTATCTTATCTTTTTACAGAAGCACAACTAAAATTTACAGGTAACCCAGTATTGATTTGAAATTTTACAATGGGTTTAAAAAAACTTTAAAATGAATATGATTCTCGTGCATGTTATATATATATATATATATATATATATATATATATATATATATGGAATTCCCAAAGAATTTATTGGGGAAACTCGTGCTATATGATTTCGAGAAGAATATCCACCACACAATTTTCGAATACTTTAAGCTTTACCTTTTGCCCAAGTTTGCAGATCCTCAATGCGCAGGTGCAAATAACCTCATTCAGTCCTCGTCATAGGATAAGCCACCCACGCGCTTATTTTCTTGCTTTTATAACGTGAAAACTTCACCTTTTAACCGCCCTTTTGGACATCGTGAAATTGCCCAGAAATTAAGATAAAATGTAAAAGATTATTTTACATATTTCTAATTTAGAAAATGTTCCAAATCAAAAGGTTCACTTATCAATAATAATAATAAAAAAATGTGTACGGTGACGGTGTTAAGCGATACTAACAAAATGATTGAATAATGTGTGAAGCTTATAATTTGTAAGCTTATAATAGTGCGACAAAAAATGGTAAATGACGCAAATATAAAGTCGTCTCCAAATTCAAATATCGAAAATAATTCGATTGAACCATTGAATGTGAATAAAACTATTAAAACCTTGGAATTTAAGGTGACTTAATGTAATGTTGATTTCTTGATGTCTTGATATGTGTTGTTAAAGACGTTTATCTTTTTAGGGATTGCTTTGGACATGTGCTCTAAGGGAAATTTGTTTGACAGCCCTTTGGCTTCCATTAGGTGCTTTAGTGCTTTGTTACGTGACGGCGTCTATATTCCAAGCAGATGACATACATGAAACACATTGCAGAGTAAGTTGAATAATAGACGCCCTTGAACTAGCGACGAGGAAATTTAAAAAAAGACACTGTAATGTTCTAATAACCTTTCTAGGTTTATAATGTAGTCCCGTCAATAAGTGCAATTACTGGGATCAGTCCACAAAGATACATTTGGAGGATATGTATTGCCTACCATTTAGGACCAAGACTTTTGATAGGCTCCTTGTATTACAACTACCATAAACAACGCACTTCGCATATCACGGACGAGAAGGTAATTATAAATTTATAGAAAAGCAACAGATTTTATGCTAAAGCTTTATAATGTTATATATCTTTTTATTAATGATATAAGTACCTAATTAAATCTGTAGATTAAAAAAGTATTTGTGGTACTAAACAATGCATTATTTAATTTCAGGCACGTCTACTGGCGACTAAATTAGGCGACGCCTGTTATTGGTTAAATTTGTTAGAATTATTTGCTCTCACAGGAGTGACTTATGTTTCAAACAGAGAAAATTATTGTAAGTTGACAATTTAAATTAGTATTGATTGCTTGTTGTTACGCGAATATTATAAATGGTTAAATAAAACTATTTTACAGTTTCTATGGCGTTCTTATTAAATTTTAAACTCGCGACGTTTCGAACACGTCAACACTCTAGACTCAATTCGGTCCCATGTACATGAACGATAGAAAGGGTTCGAAACGTCGGGAATTTAAAATTCGTTTAAAATGCATAAAAACCGGAAAATAGTTTTATTTACCAACGATCTTACAGTGGTAGGTCCACGTAACAGCTACGGCTGTTGCAAGAATTGGCAGGTCCGTCCGGGTAAGTACCACGACCTCACAGAAGACCGGCGTGAAGTGGAAGTGTCATACTTATGCGTTTCTTCTGGTGAGTGAGGTAGCCGCGGCCCACTTATTGGCTTGCAAATGTCCATGGGAGTTAGTATTCACTTAACATCAGGTGGACCGCCAGCTCGATTGCCACATTCTCACATAAAAAACGTGTGTGTGTACTTATGTATGCACGTAAGAAGTTACGTTTCTTTAGCGTAACAAAAGAAAATTAACTAGAATATTTTACCCCCTGTGCCAGTACTTTTTATTTGTGAAAAAGACATTAATTGTTAACGGTTCTATCTTGGAATTATAGGTAAATGTCACAAACCGTGAAGTTGGCTGCAAAGCAACTAAGTTCATCATTGTCATTTTTTGGGGGTCAGTGTGCGCGCGCATCGTATATAAATTTTACCCTCATAACTTTTTCCAAACGCGACCAAAAAATTATAACTTCAAAAAAAAAAAATATTATTCATTTTGTTTAAATGCTTCATAGTTGAATCAGTTCATAAAATTTTAACGCACATCGGCATTTGGACAAATAGTATTTTATCGTTGTTCACTGTGCTTTGCTTAAATGGGTACAAGTTGACCCATTTAAGCAAAGGATTTGCGAACGTACACGGTTTTTGAAAAAAAAAAACGAGTAAAAAGCAGAAGTTTTTGTCTAATTTTTTTTACCTATCGTCCAGTAAGTATATGAACTGAACGGATTTTCTGAACAGTTGACAATAGGCCAAGTGCGAGTTGGACTCGCGCACGAAGGATTATGACTGTTGTACGGGAGCCCCACTTAAACATTTTTTTATTGTGTTTTTTAGTATTTTTTTTTTGTTTTTATAGCTTCAACAGAAATACATCTGTGTTAATTTTAACTGTCTAACTATCATGGTTCATGAGATACAGCCTGGTGATAGACGGACAGACGGACGGACGGACCGACGGACGGACGGACGGATAGACAGACAGACAGACAGCGGACTCTTAATAATAGGGTCCTGTTTTGTTCATTGGGTACGGAACCCCTAAAAAGTAAGGTAACGGCTTGTACAGGTACGTCCCACTCCTGAGCAAAGGCCACATATGGTATAGAGGGTATTTATTAGTACATTACCACGTGACCACCACTGCAGATTGGCAGACTTCAAGTATATTGAAAATATTTTTTTATTTTGTATTATTTCTAAAATGCTGGTGGAATAAGTCAGGACCTAAAATCGCAATTAACAATATCAATGGTGCAGGCAGTGGCAATTGAACTCACGTTGCTCGAGTATATTGAATTAAAAGCCAGTGCCCGGGCAGTGAGCTATCACGGCTAATATATGTATGACTGGCGGTAATATTTACCATCAATTTACCATTCATGTAGGCCTAGTACAGAAAGAATCTGTCGAATACTTTTCTTACTATTCGATCATTTGATTGTATTTCTTGCAAAATTAAAAAACTCTCTTCCAGAAATTGCTCCTGCTTGTTTGTTTGCTTTGTTTGGTAAAATGATGGCAGTACAATTTTTACTTTCAGTTATCCATGAGAAAATATTCATAGTGTTTATGGCCGCTGCTCTCCTGCACATGCTTTGTCGCGCTCGAGTTGGGTGCATCAGCAGCGACACAGTTGAACCAGTCCGGACCAACAAGCTAGTGTGGATATTATTTTATGTAGCGATTGCGGCCACAATAGGTCTTATAATATTTTTCTTGAGACATCGATTACTTTGTCGCCCACTCGGTAAGATCATACTTACAATATAAGCAACATAAAGTATCATGAGTTATAAAGAAGTCCGATGAAGAGAATTCGTGTTTGAACCGTACCCGAATGATCGATGAAGGGGAAATGGTCACTGAAAAACTTATTTATTTCAGTGACAAGTTGAAAATCTATCACGCTCCACTATCTTATATTTTTAAGACTAACGTTCTAAATTTAAAGAATAAGTTAAACTTTATATGTATATCTTATAGAATAAAAAATAATACGATAATATTTTTCCAGCTTTCACATGGTTTTCAGTGTGCGAATACATTCTTGCAACAACAAATATGGCGTTCCATGCAATCGTTGTTCGTGATTTGCCTCTGCACCAAATCCAAGTGGTGTGTCCAACGTACCACAAGACACACTAATGTATTCCGCATATATATGTAGTGAAATTTTATTGTAGGTAATACGAACTATTGTTGTAAGTTTCATTATTTATGTTCGTAATGTTTAGAGTAACATCATTAAGAAAAAATAGATATTAAGTACATAGAGTAGGTGCTATATATTAAAAAAAGTTTGAATAATTGTTTAAAATTTTGTTGTATTCATAACAGTCTTAAAGATTAGTCCCGTTAATGTACCTAACATTTGATAAATAGTGTGGTGAATATTATGTACATAGAAATGAAAAAAAAAAAAACTGAAGTTTTATAAGACAAGAATATTCCCAATATGATTTGCCTGATTTCTTTGAGGCTAAAAACTATCATGGGAAATGTTGTTAATTAGTTTGTTAATAATGGTTAAATTTTATTAATAGTGGTAGTTGAGGTGTAGTCGTGATTTTTTTCTTAACAGTCAACAGAAATTTATTATAGGAATGTATTAAATAAGGAACTACTGCCTTAATAAGCTCGAACGTGGTTTTTGAACGTAACCCAAAGAAAAATCAGTTTTGTAAACTAAAATAATATTTCAACATTAACGTATTACCTAACTTTAAAAAAAATCGGAAATGGACCAAAATTTTAAAATCTCAATATTATAGGCGATGTTAATTGTAAAAGTTATGCAAACATATCCTCGAACTATTTACAATATAAACAATTAGAAATGTTCGATACTAAAGCTCCAACAACTATAATTCAATGTATAACTGCAAGTGTTTGTACTGTTCCATCATCATAAAAAACTATTCCCATACATTTTATCATTTTTTGTAATATTTTAGTACTCTTATTTAACTTTTACTTATTATTACAAATATAACAGGGTCACGACGACAAATTTTCTAAAGTTCTTACAAGTAACAACCACTGGTTATCACGATTTGCATAGATAAGTCATATTATACACTATATATACTGAAACGATTGGGATGAAATTATCTAGCAGTGTAGCGTGAACTATCTCTGTCTTCCTGATAAGGTTAAAAATACGTAAAAGCTGGTAACGTTCTGTGTTTGTCGTTAAGTTTTAAAAATTATCTAGAAAAGATTATGTTCGAAAGCACAACCTAAAAATATGTTTAAACTTTTAAGTATAGCACAAACGAGCCATTTGTTTTACTATAATGATACTTTTGTCGATTTTAAAAGGTGGATTATGTATTCATTTAATTATTATTATTATGAAAAATAAACATGTATTATTTGAACTGGTTTTTAATTACTTGAAATAAAAAAGACTGGTAACAAATTAATGAAGGTACCAAGCATTTATTTACAACAAATAGGGATCACTAGAAAATAACATCTAGTCTAGTAAATCCACAGATATGAAGTATAGATAACAAAAAAAAGTTGAGTTACCTATTAAATCTTATGCAAAAGAAATAATAAAATACCAACATCATTGTAAATTTTTACAATGAAACCAAACGCCTGTAGCAATGTTGTATTAAATGACTCTAATCTTAATTTGAAGACAATATATTTGCACTCAATTATTATTTAACTGGCTTTTCCTACATTGTTTAACTTTGACAAAATTAAAAGCTTAACAAAAAAAAGATATCTTTATAATGTCTATTTTATTTTCTGTTGCCTTATTTGAGGCATTTATTTTATTATTTTCACACCTTTATAGTTAAGGTAAGAGGATGTTAACCTAAAACCTAAAAGATTAGAAAAATAATATCTACATTTTTTAATAATAATAACTAATGTAAACGTACTAAACAATAAATAACAGCGCCCTCTAGAGTCTAGACACAATAAGATTGTCTTGTAGATGTATACTAGATGGCGCTAAGTAATTTGACAGTTTGAAATAGAAAATCATTCTATCTCAGTCTTAACAAAGATGGCGGCGAACAGGACCTACGCAGGTATAAATCTTACATGTGTTAGTGTATACATACACAAAATTTCACGTTTGACCACTCTAGATACGCACACCAATGCATTGAACGGGTGGGCGCGGGGCGAGGGGTGTAACGTCCGTGAAGTTGTGTCAGCATATGCGCAAACGAGGTGCGCATTCGTCGCGTGCGTTGTCGGGATTCTTTGTGCCATTCTTCGCATACCAATAAGAGTATATTCTTTAAATTTACTCCTAAATTAACATTTAGTCAAAATTCGGCCCTTTACTACATCTTCAACCTCCGTAATAGGTAAGTAAAAAATAATTTTATTGTAATTTTCATACAGTTTACTGGAGATTTCGGTGATTTTTATTCGGGAATGTCAACAATGTGATCGCAATCCTGCAATATTTTACATAGTTGTCGCGTTTGCTTCGCTTCGACTTCCGGTGGTTCGGGTGTCGGCATTTCGTGATGTAAACATTATCTAGTTTTGGCAAAGGGACATTTGGGAAAGGTGTTAGGGCATGAAGTGTGCTCAAGGTGTTTTTGTGTTGTTGAATTCGCTTTAGTGTGCCTACTAGGATGGCGCAATTTTCGAAAGACGCGGTATGGTATCGTTCGCCCGCGTTACACTTCAGTCGCGTTGGTGGCTGTATGCGATTTGACGTATTCCGTGCGCGGTGATGACACTTGTCAACTTATTTTATGAAATGTCAAACGTTTTACATGAATTGCGCGAGTGAATAGTAAACAAGTTGTTAGTGAAATTGATATAAATGCTGTGAAATTCTTAAAGGGTGACATGGACTGTTATTATTCCAAATATTATCCAAGGCGTAAGTACTTTCATATTGAAAATAAACAAACAAAATTCTTCAAATAACTCTTCGAATTCCAAGCATTTCACTTGTAAAGTGAATGCTTACTTGAAGTTATAAATTTGTTAAGCTCTTAATATTCGGGAATAATTTTATAATTAACAAAAATCTTCTTAATTGATAAATATACTTCATTTATTGTACTTAACTATTTATAGTACTAATTTTACGCACGTTCTTAAATTTATTGTTATGATATAAATTAATTTGAAGTTTTAATTTTCTTTCCATTTGATATGCTTCATGAATTACTTTTTTACAGAATAATATTAGCTGTCTCGCGTAAAATTTAAACGCCAACAAATAATAATTAAAAAAAAAACGTTTTAATAAATTTAACGAGTTTCGCTATATTTGAACTTATGTGAATATTCACATATATTCAGGGACTTTATTTGAAAAAAAATATAGTTATAATGGTAACGTTTAATGTTACGACGTGCATACGCATTAATTCAGATTAGTGCCCGTGGTGACTTGTGTTTAAGAAAACAATACTTAACCTGTGCGGTGTTTTAATACATCTATTAGTTCTAGAGTTAAATAGATTTAAATGCAAGTATGTCCATAGAAATATGAATATGGTGATGATGGTATGAATAGTTTTAATTAAGGGTTATTGCATCTTGTTCTTTTTTAAAAGTTTGGCAACAGCCGATTTTCTTTTGTTTTAAAGCTTCGCCATATGAAACTTTGAACATTTTAATATTTACAAAACGATCAATCAATTCGTTGTGTATGTAGTAATAATCAATTGCAGTCGGATATTTTTGTTTCTTTAAAATTACACTTTATCGCTTGACGTCGTACTTTGACGGGTAATAATTTCAATTCATGGTTGACGCAAGTAAGCCAGAGTCGCGAGACCGGCTGTTTATAATTAGAGAGTGTATATTATGCGATGGACTTAGATGTAAAAGCAAAACGGAACGTTTTAATATCTGAATTAACCTTATCTGACATTTTTGTTAAATCTTTATATTCCATAACAGGCATATTCGAATTAAGGTCTTAACGACGAACTACGCAGAAAACCGATCCACCGTCTTCGCGTCATTAGAGACTGTAGCCCGCGCGCGTGAAGTCTCACGCGCGTAAGGAGAACCGATAACGTGTTTTGGCACAGCGCGTCCGATTCCTAGTTATCCATTAGCGCGAAGTGCGAGTCACGGTTTCGATGTGATCGTAACTGCTTATGTATCTGTCGGTGCCCCGTGCGGTGCCAAGAGCTATTTTGGTCAATGCAAGTTGATGTTTTTATTGCGGGGCGCGTCGCCGACGCCCGACGCCGGTGCCGCGGGCGACAAGCAATAAGGCGTGTTGACTAATACCAGAGTCCTTCCCGAGCCGTTTCGCAGTGAATCGGATCACGGAGTGAGCAGTATATGTATAGACAAGGGCCTATTCGATTATAATGCGCCGTATTCACTACCGCGATCATCAATCCAAGAAACTTGTAAATGGAGCGCACCCGTCCTATAACTTTATGGAACTAAATTCTTTTAGTAATGAACTAATATAGTCCGTAGTGATATTGTCCTCGTTAAGTACTTAACTAGTTAATGCAATATCAATTTATAGCCCTGTAAAATAAATAAAAACCGGCCAATTGCGAGTCGGACTCGCGCATGAAGGGTTCTGTAACACTATAAAAATGGAATAAAATCATAGCGTCCTGTTTTACCATTTGGATCGGAACCCTAAAACATGTCTTGACATATGGCCTATTATTACTTAAAAGGCCAAAAATCTTTTAATGTCGCTAAAACCCATAGTCACTTACCTCTAAGTAAATAGTAAAAGTAAAGTATCAGCCTATACAAGTCCCACTGCTGGGCAAAGGCCTCCTCTATACAGAGGGTATAGTCCACCACGCGGCCCCACTGCGGATTGGCGGACTTCACATATCATCGAAAAATATATTTTTTTGTTATTATTTCGAAAATATGCAGGTTTCCTCTCGATGTTTCCTTCACCGCGGAGCACGTGATAAGTCAGCACTTAAAGATAAAAACTTTATTGGTTCCGGCACCGGGGATCGAACTCAGGTTGCTCCAGTATTTTGAATTAAAGGCGAGCGACCGGACACTGAGCTATCACGCCTCTTTAAGTAAATAGTAGGTGGTAATAATCTGTAACCGATCGTCGAAGACATTTAAAAAAATACTTAATCAAAAAATATATATGCTTGTTATCAACCGAGAACACCGCATGTGAATAACGAAGGCGATTT